AAAGTGACGACAAATTTGAAATTGCAAAACGTTAAAATCGTTGATGTGCACAAAGTTGATTTGAGTTGTTACTCTGATTGCGAAGAAAATAAACAACTGAACACATCCCAAGCCGTCAGAGACCTGAATTTCGCTCGAACGAGATTGAGAAGAACCGCGAGATTTAATGGCAAACTAAAAGTGATAGTGGATGTGAGCAATTCAAATTTGTAGCGCGGAATAGAGATGGAATCGAGCAGATCACCTTGATAGAGTGGATCACATAAGCATTCGTTGAGTGATACACATTGACCATGTGCACTACAGTTTGATAGAAGTTCACAGGACGGCGTCGAACAGTCATCTCCATACCATCCTTCATAGCACTTACAGTGGTTCGGTGCTACGCAATTTCCATTGGTTGAGCAATCGTTCAGCGATGAACAATCATTCAATTTCTCCGAACAATTCGCTCCACCAAAACCATGGTCACATTCGCATTCGTTCGGTTCTACGGAATTTCGAATGATATGGTAAAGTAAGGAGACAACAGTCAAAAGTCAGCCGGTTTAACAAATATCACCAATAAAACCATCAAGGTCTAATTGATTGAGTACTTCGAAGACCAAAGACTTTAAAAGATTCGATTGAACCATCACAACGCAAACAACTCTTCCCCATCATTATTACTTTTAAGTGCTCCTCTATGTTAATAACCTCTTTTTGCAAGAATGGACCATGCTGAATGTTAACTGATAGAAGCGATATCAGAAAGAGTATTTCTAAGTTCACTGCAATCGGGTGCTAAATCGCAAGTGCTTTCAAACGGAATGATCAATGAGTGCTTTCGATGAAAATCTTCTCACCGATACAATGCGCATTCGTAGTGCAATTTGTCGTCACTTCACAATCATCTGCTATTGGTGCTGGAGAACGTTTTCTGCCGATTGGATCAATATAAGCAATTCCTGAAAACTTATTCGAAGGTCATATCCTTGGAACATCAACTCCGTTCAAGCCTTTTCCGGTTGAATGCATGTATGAGTATTTTGGGTGGGAACAAGACAGAAAGTTGTCCTAGCGAGAAGAAAACTATCGGAACTGGAAAAATTTTTTGTTATAATTTGCTCCTTTGATTCTTCCTGGATGTAATGAGACCCCAAGCAACATATAAAGACTGTTCATGTACCTCTGGAATGATCGATTCTTCCATCGAGGATCCTCTTTTCGATAGATTCGCTATTCTCTTGATCGCCCCAATAGTTATTCGTAGCGTCCAGTGCCTGAAAAATGAGCTGCAGGGGATATATTTTGATGCTTTTGATTGCAAGACATCAACTACTTTTATTTGAGCGATTGGAAGACTGAAACAGTGGTAATGTGCGGAGACAGTGTTGGTTGTAAGGAAATAATGCAATATTAATGAAAATGGAGTAAATATTAAAAGACAACAATTACAGAGTAAAGACAGTCAATGAATTCATAAGTGGGTAGCGTTCCTCATGGATATTATTGGGGTCACTGAGGTTGAACGCATATGTAAGTATTTGGGACGGGAACGGGACATAAAATTGCCGGAGTCGGAAAAAACCACCGTTACTACGAAAATTCGGGAGAACCGAACAATAAAACAGCCTGAAGACCAGAAACAGAAGAGCGCACCCCCCCCCCTCCCTCCGCATAGCTGCTTTCGTACGAGATTCATAAATAATCTAGAATGAGTAATAGAAGCATGTGAGAACTCACATTACTTTGGAGAAATTCAATTTCCAGATCGAACTTCTCGAGACGATTATCGAATTCGTTATCGTTGATTCTGAACTGCGACGATCCAACGATCACTGAACCTCGTTGGTTTTCATTACGCTCGAATTTATTGTCATGCACACTACCGTTGAGCGGATTGTCGTTGTTGGGTATGATGTAGAGACACCATGCACCTTTGTTGTGCATCCAAACGTTTTCGGCGATGTCCACGTGAAAAACCTTTGAATGCTGAAATGCATCAGCAAATTCTTCTGAATGAATCTCCAGCTCAAAGTCTGGTACTTTCGAAGGTTGAATCATTATATCAACCGTTTGTGCTACGTTCACAAGTTGAATAGTGCCGAAGACATAAATTCATGGCGCATCAAACGTCCGTAACTTTGCTGGACGCAGTGCGCTTTCTTTCGGTCGTCGACTTTACTTTCCTCTGTCGCATTTTTTAAAATTCTTTTCCTGTGTCGTCTTTCCACCTTTTCGTAGTCCCCTCACAAGCGAAAGTCAAAAAATTTAGCCACGGATGAGTTATCACTTACTATCAAGAATGACTAATGAAGATTCANTCGAGCTTTCGCACAGTCCATGCTGATCAGAATTTCACAGCATGGCTTTTCAATTGCGCAGTGGTGTTCTGGAATGTAGAATCCCGTTGAGATGGGGAACAAACCTGATGAGGTGACATCTCGAGTGCTACCGTGCCACTTTTGGTGTGTTCGTTGTTGTTGATGAAATGATTACGATGGATCTTGGCCTCAACACACGATTCCATTCGCGAATGCACTACGAGATTGCTGTTTGAGTCGAATCGATTTTCAGTCAGCGTAAACGATGGAATTCGCTGGTTTCCTTGATCGACGCGATCGAGTTCACACTTCAAAAACTCGAAGTGATCACGTAAATTCTCATCCCTTTTAACAGCTCATGAAGGAGTCAGTCACTTTAAAAGAGTCAGTTTATATCCTTCCATCTTAAAGAACGTTTTAACGTTCTCTGGCAACCAAGTTAACTCTCAACTCTCAGAATACATCAAATCGACTTCGATACGATTCTGATAAGGATATGCAATTTTACTCTAAGAAGTTTGCTATTTTGACGAGTTGGACAATTCGCCTTGGTTAAATCACTTGATATGAATTGAAGATTAATTCGCGAAGCTGTATGAATTTAAATAGATTTGTGCTTATCTAGCGTTTTGTTTAGCATTTTGTTTGACAGCGTTTCTCGTGGTTGACTTGCTTCAATACGATCGCACTAAAACGCTTACACTGAGATATATTCCAACACTTGGAACTGTATTCGCATGGAATAGAGATGAACCAATGAATAGAGAATTATATGAGAGCAGATGGATGTGTAATCCACGTTGACCACGTTCTTGCTTTGATATGGAAATATTCTCAATGTGAATGTTATTTATTGGATATTTTGGATTCTGCACCAGATTCACTGAGAATGATCCACTGTTTTCAATCTGAATAATAATAATTCGTTGCAAGGAATCAGTT